GAATAGCCTACTTGAAGTCTCATAGAAAATCGCTACTGCCATTGGTCAAAATCACATCACGACCTTGACCCCAGTATAGCAAAGCACCTGATTTAAAATAGCTTCTATCCTTATCCAGCTTTTTCACTATGTAGTTTGTAGCACCACATTTTCTCTAATATCCAGACCTACTCAGCCAAAAAACCCTTAAGTTTACTGCCAATAACATTAGAAAGAAGGCAGCAGGACACGCTAGCTGACATTAAGCGCTCCCTCTGAATTTGGATTACTCAGGGGATTAATTTAACCTGACATACCCTGGTAGGGTTTGGAGAGTGCCACCTTCATATCCAAACCTGTGATAACAAATTAAACACTATACCCTGTTCCTGCGTCAGAGAGGCAATAAAGTCCACTTTGAAATATGCATGTTGCTGATTTAAAATAAGAATGTCTTTTACAATATATCCAGCTTGTAACTACAACACGGGAAATAAACAGGTATTCTAATTCAAGCAGGCATCTGTTTATGCAGCAGGAGAATACTCTGTACACACATCTACGGAAAACTTCCCTTTATGCACGGCAACAAGTACAAGTCAGTCTTACCTGCAGGTTTGCACATGCTGGTGGCTCGTGGTGGGTGGGTATTTCATTGTTAGCGGTCACTGAACCTGTGATTTTAAGTTTGAAAGCTGTTGTAGTTGCGGCTGCAGTGGTGTGTACTGGTATGACTGGCTGCCACGTGTTCACATCACTACCATTGCCAAAGGCCTGAATCGCATTTCCTGTAAAAATAAATTACAGGCAATTTTCTATTTCTAAACAAACAGCAGAAAGCAGAACTTACTTTATTATTCCACTGAAAATATGTGTTTTAGAAGCTTAATTTTTATGCTGAAAAATGTGTCTTCGAATTTGAATATATCAGAAACATGAACTCAAGAGTCTGGGGTCACATAATTATCTGGTGCAGCTTCTTCTTTGTAATGTTCCCAATAATTCCTGACAGAAGCTCTAGAACTTACTGTAATCACATTTCTTACCATTCAAAACCCTCCAAAATTTACTTTCAAGATTTAAAATACAGTTTCAATGTTATGTCCTAATTCAGGCACGTGATGTTACACAGCAAACTAAAAACGGAGAGCAGACAAAATATTACTGCATTTCTATATTTTGTTGTAATAAAACTAATAGCCTAAAACTACAAAATGATTTAAACTATGACAATTTTTTCCTTACAGTTTTCAATCAAAATCTGCATAATTAGGTGAGGGAAGCATGCTTAAACTAAAACTTCAGAATATGGAAGTTAAAAAGCTTATCATAGTTTCATGGGATTAAAGACTGTGTTTATGGCAAGAGTAAATTGATTGGGGTTTTTTATAAACAAATAGAAAAAGAGTTTTTAATCAGGTCTTCAGGGATTCAACATGGATTTAGGGATTTCTTATTTCAAACTCTTTGTACAAGGAATCAGACAATTTCACTGGGGACTAATATGTAGGAGTTATTAATACTTCTTCTCAGTTGTATTCCTTGCCTTAAAAAATCATTTACATGTAATTTTCATCTGAAAAAGATGTACTTCATTCAGGTATTAGTTCTCAGAACTCCAACATGTAAAGAGAAGAATGTGTAAGAGGCACCAGAATAAGCTTGATTGATGGAGACAAAATGGAAAGAAGGGAATTATATTTTTCTTAGGTTTACCTGAATAAGACAATACAAAGCACTATTTTCCTATGAATTCCTAAATTAACAGTAACTATTTCCATCATTACAAGGATCACAGAAATACATGCAATCCCTTCAGTTTTCTAAGCAAAAGTGGTCTTTAGAATTAGTCTTTATTATTTCATAGAATCATACTCAATGATCCTTATGGGTCCTTTCCAACTTGACAACTTCTATGCTTCTATGATAGAATCTTAGCATGGTTAGTATTGGAATGGGCCTTTGAAGCTCATCTAGTCCAACCCTCCTGCAATGAGGAGGAACATCTTCAACTAGATGTTGAGAGCCCTGTCCAACCTGGCCTTGAATGTTTCCAGGTAACATTCCAGAATGTTACCAGCTCTCTGGACAACCTGCCCAGTGTTTTACCACCCTCATTGTAAAATAATTCTTCCTTATATCTGGTCTGACTCTACGCTCTTTAAGTTTAAAACCATCACCTCTTGTCCTATTGCCACAGACACTACTAAAAAGTCTGTTTCCATCTTCCCTATAGGCTCCCTTTCAGTATTGAAAGGCCACCATATGGTCTCCAAGGTCTCCATGGTCTTCCTTTAGGCTAAGTAATCCCAACTCTCTCAGCCTTTCCTCACAGAAGAGATCATCCATCCCTCCTGAAATTGTACTGATATTTAATATATATATGTATTATATTTTAAATAGTTTATATATATATATATAATTTTCATGCATATTTCAAACATATTTCAAAAAACATGACTGTAAGGAGGTGCCTCAAGTGTCTAGCTTCTTGAGTAAAGGTCCTTTCGATAGTTTGCATTAACTATCTCACTGATTTATACTTTTCCTCCCACTTGCCAATTTATTTTATTGCAACAGAAAACAAGTGTGAACAAATCCTTTGAACAAACAGGTCGACAGACTGATTCCCATTCAGTTCAGTAGGAATTCTAAAGAATGGAAATGAATGTCAGGAAACTAACACGTAGCTAAAAAAAAGTCTTAAAATGGATTTCCAGAATTTCAGATTGACCAAACTCTTAACTGGGGAGGCAGCAATTAGGACCACTGTAGTATTACCAGTAATTTTGGATCTTCTAATAAACAGAATAAAAACATAATCAAGATGATAAAAAGCCCAAAATTTTAAGATTAATGTATCTTATCTGGGGCCTGTTAATTTGTCTAATATATGTAAAAAGCAAACAATGCAATGTCTGTCTTTATTGGGACTAATTATTAAACTGTAACTTTCACTAGTATTTTCACATCTGAAATCAAAACTTCCACTCTGCTTTCAACGTCACATCTCTTGCAAAAGGTTTTTCAACCCTAGAATGGAATTTCTAGGCAAGTACATACAGACATGCAAGAAAGACCAGGTTTTCAGGTGTTTATAGGGGACATGGTAAACTAAGCTTCATATCCCAGCTCCACATCAGGCTCAGTAGGAATGTGACCCTCCATTTCCTGCTTTCAAAGTCCCCTAGCCCTCAGGATACAGTTTTGGCTATTCCGCTTTGCATAAATAACCAATTGGGGTTTTTAATTAAAATTTAAACTAGGTTTCTCACATCTTCTGTAAATGCCCCAAATCACCGGTTTCTTTTCCAGTTTAAAGGGGAAGCATACTTCAGCTAAGCAGACTAACAAATTCCTAGTTTCATCCCATTGTGGAAAAGTGATTTCTGCTTTGTCTAAAAAAAGTGGGAGGGATTCTAATTTCATCCAATAAACAAATGACATTTTCTCCAGACACTAGAAGGACCATTAATGACAATGACTTTAAAAAAAAAAAAAAATAAAAAAAAAGGAACTTTTCCCACTCTATGTCAGAGAAAAAAACTTTGTACTAAACTAGAAACATCTTAAACTTCTTCATGAAGAAGACATCCTTTTAACTCTAATGCAATTTCAGAGGACAATCACGTATCCTTTCAACTTCTGTTCTGCTAGGCTAGGGAAGCCAAGCTCTTTTGGTCTCCTCATTTATCTGAAATTAAAACTCTGATGCACACTCCACATCATCCAATTATGCTGCTCCAGGCAGACAGGAAATTTGAAAAGAGAACCTGCCAAAATCGACTCCACTGAGCCATTCTGAAATTTGTAATAACCCCTAATTTGGAAGTGAGTTTGATGAGGGGTGGGGGTGGGGGAAGAAATCAATAATTTAACAAAACCTTTATGATGGGTACCATCCAGAGTTGTGTTAAAACCAGGTATCTGAGATCAGGAAAATAACGTGAAAAAACAGAAGCCTGGCTACAAAATGCAAGCACAATCCAACGTGTACAGCAAATCCTTCATATAATAAACTACAAACCTTTTTTTTTTTATATATGAAGTTTTTAAATTATACAGAAATCCCTCAGATGTTGCACTATTTTGGTACAGATGCTGCCTGTTAGGGTCCAAATATGATCTGTGATATAGATACATTTCTGTATGACATGAATTTTAAATTCTTTCCAAGAGCTTCTTGCAATCTTGGCCACAAACCATAGTACCAGGCATATTTGCCCATTTGTTTAATTCTAACACCTAGAGCAGAACAATGCCTATAAAGTGCAAAAAGATGGCCTTGATGTATCATAACATATTCAAACAGCAAAGACATTCCAGAAAACTTGCTAAAACACATCTAAAGACATGTAATTTTGTACTCACTAAGGCATATATTGTCCTTGAAGAAATTCAGAAATGTCAGGCAGTCCTCTATGTCGTTACCACTGTTGCTGCAGTCACACCACGGGGCAACGCTGAGACTCTTTGAGTCTATGTAGTTGGGTGTCATCGATGTGCCTGTTAAAGAAGAGTGAGGTACAGATCTGTGAGCAACCTTTGAACTGAAATGTTCTTTTCACATGAAGCAGATAGCAAACAGTACTTGTTAAGTCATGTATTCAGAGCAGGAATCCCACAAGGTGGGAACCTCTTAGAAAGGGCTTTGCTGTCAAACCAAACCTAAGTGGACCTCTGTCTTTAGAGTTATATTCTAAAAATCCAATTTTTCTTCCTTGCTTGTACTTTTTCTCATTTTTGTTCTAGCTGCAAATAAATGGCTGAAACGAGACAGTCAGATCTGAGCTTCCTTGAGTCTGCAGCCAGCCTGAAAAACAATTTCTGAAGCACTTGAGCAAGGAGAATGCAAGTCATGCTGAGAGGACCCTAATACCCCATGGTGCTTGTTAGGGACCTGCTAACAGAGTGGGTTATGGTGATGAACAAAGCAAAAACATAACCAGCATGTAGAAAATGCTACAGTGGATTCTTTGCAGGTAATAAATTACTATTAATCTTGCTGTGTCACTACTTTCTCAGTACAGAGATTGTTTCCTAAACATTGTCGACAACTTGCAACCACAGGTTCACTCTAACTCTATTACAAATTCTTGGGTAAATATTCACACACTTATATGTTAACTCAAGGCTACTAAGAATGAAATGAAACCAAAGAATGCACTTTGTGTCCCAAAAGATATACAGCAGCTGTTCATCACTTATCTGGATCAAGCAATGGTTACACAATCAGCACTTGCTCAAACCAGTAGTTCCACTGAAGGCATCACCCCAGCAGGCCAGAGATTTCAAGCTTCCCTAAGGATTGAAACTTGTCTGACCAAACAGGAAAAATTAAGTGAAAATGAGTAGGTGTTCCAGAGTTGTACTGATGACAGCTGCTTCAGGAAACATGCTGCTCACTTGCTAATCTACAGTTCTAGGATAGGCTATATATCATGAGGAAATGTGCTCACATCTCCTCAAAACTGACATCAAAGTAGTCATTAAGAAGATGGACTAGATGAAGGATAAATACCAGAGACCTAAAGTGTACACTAGCAGAGAAGATTTGCTCCACAGGTCCAGGGTCCCAGAGTTTGCAGTGCTACACAGCAAAGGGCTATCAAACACCAAGCTAAAAAAAGGAACATTAGAAATAACACAAATCACAGAATGACGTCAAGTAGCCTTTCAGTCACCAGGCAGCACTAGGATCTCAGCAAATCAACATGCAAACTGTTTTGTACACGACGTGAGAGTCAATGGAGAAGAGACATTAAGAGCTGGCCTGAGAAAGGCAGTGAAAATGTGAAAATTACTGCAGTTCCACTGCCAAACTCACAGAATAAGCATATTTTGTCTTGTTTTGGGATTTTTGGAAATGAGAATGCAATCTCAGACCTTTATCTACTTCCAGCTTTTAACAGATAGTTGCTGCCACAATTGCTCAAATTCTACATGAGATTCGCAAATGAGTATATAGCTTACTTCAAAATTATTAATTATTAAATGTAGGCAGAGAATTTAATAAAACAGGCAAGTGTCATTTGCACCATTAATGAAAACTTGGCAGTAGATAAATATGAAGAAGTTGATATTAAAATAAAACAAATGGAAATATCTGCCCATTATCCATTTGATGGGTCAGTATGCTATTTCAACCTTGTGACATGATCTGAAAAGACGTAAGGGAAAATGAAAATCAAGAGGATTTTGCAAATGGAAAGAAAACAGTGGGCTTCAAGAAAAAAAAAAAGTGAATGCTCAGTGAAGGGTTAGAAAAACAGAAAGGTATTGAGGAAATGAAAAAGATCACTGAGGTGAGACCTTATCACAAAAAGGTAATCAATCAGGTAATTAAAATGGGTCAAGACAGGGCGAGAAGTGTAACAGATATGAAGGCATGATTAGGGTTGATGAATACAGGAAGGACAGGGCAAGGAATGTGTGTACACAGCACACAAACTGTACATCCAGCAAAAACGGAGTGGCTGAAAGAGCAGCAAGTAGAAAATCAGACTGTCACTTAAACCTGGGGGCAGATGTGAACCCAAGTGGATTATATGCATGATTTTCTGCGGTGGATTTTGGGTTTTTTCCCAGCAATGTTTGTGGCTTCCCCCTCCAAGCCCCCTCCCCTCACCCCTACTAGCTGGCATCTTGAAAATTCTGCTGAAGGACACTAACAGATCAGAGAAGCCAGGGTGGCTGGCAATTAAACAGGACATGCTCGTTTTTCTGTGTTCTGTGTATCAAAAATTTCTGTGATGGTCTCAACAGCAGGCAATCAGGTCTCTGTATTTTAGACAAAAGCAGAATTGACCTGAACACAGCCAAGAGGTTGATCAAATTAAGGTCAATTAAGAATGAAGAGACGGATGGTGAGTCCAGGAGGGCAGGCAAGTGACTAAAGTTCCTTTGGCCCAAAGTGACTCCAGTTTATTCCACTATCATGGAATTTCTAGTAATCCCAGGGAAATTAGATGGATTTTACTGAAGACATGGGAAAATGTGTCAGAATCCCTGCTCTGGCAGGGGGGGTTGGACTAGATGATCTTTTGAGGTCCCTTCCAACCCCTATAATTCTATGATTCTATGAAAGTGCATGCTAAAGCAGATCTTGAAGCCGGCAGTCAGAGCAATCCCTAACTGAAGTGGGAGTGCAGACAGGTCCAGATAGCTTGACTAGGCTGCATCCAAAGCAATGAATCTCAAACATGGCTATCTCCAACCTTATTCTGCTTTTAGCAATTTTCACATTTTTCCTTTAATTATTTTTTTTAAATTAGTTTATCCCTATAGTTATAACAAGGAGCCTAAAGCAACAAATTAAGATTTTAAAAATTTCTGTAAAATATATGTAACTTTAAGATCGTATATATAGCATCCTGATGCAAACCTTAAAGAACCCTGTATAGACTGTTCTCCATTTAACTGGTAAAGCACCCCATACAAAAGCTGCCTGACTGTATTCTTACTTAAATAATTTACTTCAGGTGGGATTCCACTAACTTCAGTGAAGTTAACTCTGATTTACATCCCTGTATGCAATGTCAGTATCATATCCCCTGTACCTTCCATAAAGAACCCTCAATTCACTGAACAAACTTTATGGAAGCACAAATTTTGCTACATTTAATGAAATTACTAAATGAAATACTATTTTATCTTAATGAATAATATTTTATCTTCATTAAAACACCTGGAGATCCTGAAGCTCTAATGAATGAATGGATCTGAACTGCTTCTTCCCCACAGCCTATCAATCTATTCTTCCTGTGTCTTTATATATATTAAGCAGACAGATGAAAGATTGTGCCTCTGATTTTTATCTCAGCATCTTATAAATTTTACAGTCTTTAAATACTTTCCTCCACTTTCATGTCAGCTTGATACTGGAAGCAGAAATCTACTGCTTCAGCACATGAAAGTTTTGTTTTGGTAGTTTTCTTGGTTTATCAGAATTCCTACCAAGAAGTAAAAACTCCTGTAACACTAGTCAATACCCATCTTTCTGCATGTCTCTAAGGGCTAGCAGAAAGGAAGAAAAATGTTTCTTTTTCCCTTTGAAAATGAGATCTCCTTTTGATTTCAACTCCTTAGGGACCCATTCCAGATTTCTGATGTGTGACAGTGTTTTGCAGAATGGTTATCCACAGTAAACACAAAAACACTTGACTACAGTAACTGGGTAATCCTTGAGGTTAAATTGAAAAATAGATCCAACAAAACTGCCAGCAAAACTCACAAGGTCCAGCAAGAACTTCTTGGCAGCTCTGACCCAGAAGTATCTATTACTAACAGTTACTCTTTGCCAGCAGCTACATTTCTTAATCTTATTGACTAGATCACTTTTTAAAGATACTCAATTCTTTGTTTTAGAGTCAAATGACATTCTGTCATAACTGTTCATATGTTATACCCTTCCCTTACTGTCTTCAGCTCTTAAGTCATAGAAGCATATCCTCTGAAACCATTACATCTTATTTCACCAGTCGCCACATGAACTTACCTCACTTGTTACCTGCTAGAGTAATAGGAATGACAACAATAAGCCAGTGAATATCCCTCTCAGACATTTTTTTCAGGAAAACCTACCTGTTTCAGAAATATTTTATTTTGCATATTATCTCCAGAGACATTTATTTAACAGCAGGATCAGCTTCAGGGGCTCAGCTGGGACCTTCACACCCAACAGAAGGGGTATTACTGCCTCGCAGCAGGTGCAGGCTGTAAGCTTAAAAACATCTTATCTGGTGGCCTTTAAAATTTATTTGTTTCAGAGTTTTGACATTCACTTATTCTTCACTGCCCAACCACAGCATTTCTACCAGTTCTTCTTCAAGAGATGATCTCTCTTTTTCAGGAATAAAATACTGCATGTGAGACACAGAATCCAGTTCCATAAAAGCATCCTTGTGCCTGCTGACAGTCAGCAAGGTGACAGCAAACAATTAATTTTGTGGGAGAGGGAAGAGGATTTCAGAAGATAAATTTCGACTCAGTTCACTTCTATTGACAGGCATCTTAGAAAACTGAGTGGACAGAAGGACATCATGGGAAGAACAGCAGCTGGAAGTGAAACAAGGCTGGGTTGGTCTACAGCCTCATTCCTCAAATGTCCTGCAAACTTTCCCTGAAGACCAAGAGTTATTTACTCAACCTTGTGGTGACAGCTGCAAAATCAACCAAGCTGCAGTTTCATTTGTTCTTTATAACCTCCTACTTCACGGTCCTGTTCAAACTCAACTACTCTAATAAGCTTTACTTTGTAAAAAAGCTTTTACTTTCTTTACTTCCTCTCTTTATCTTCTTCATTTCCTTGCAATGCACAAATTTATACCAGGAATCTCTGTAAGGTAAAACAGGGTCAATACACTTAAGTGGAGAATTTCGCCTCGTGTCATACAGTATAATATTCCACAGCTTATACTTCATGTGGGCCTTCAAAATACAGTTTGGGTGTTTTTTTCAGACAGAGCAAGCCCCCACCCTTCCCTGCCTTCTTACCAATAAGCCCCGAGTATGAGAGGAGGCAGTGAGCATAGTTCTCCCTCAGGCAGCCACTAGCAGAATGTGGGTCAGGCCGGCAGTTTGTGAAGAAATCTGCAAGGCGAGACCTGGAATATGAAGGAAAATGCATATCTTCAAAAATCAAGCCTGCAGGCATCCTTACCTTTTCTAGTCTTTTTAGGTTTTGGACAAGGCTTACACATGCATTGGACACATTTCAGATGAGAGTCTCTTTCTAAGACGTGTCCCTTTCCAGAATCCGTTTTTGAAGAGAGAACAAAAAAGTGTAAGAAAACAGTAAAAAGGGACAGAACAACAGGGAAATTTCTGCCCTTTACTGAAAGAAATGCTCGGTGTTCTCATGCCAAAAAAAAAGGAAAAAAGGACAAAGAAGACAAAGAGCGATTTAGTCATATGAGCAGTCATTTTGCCTGGATCTGAACTGCAACTGGAACCTGTTATTTTACAGGAACAGAACATGCTTTCTGCTCCTTTACGGATTACACAAAACTGTATGTACTTACAGAGTCCTTTTACTACATGACTTGAGGCAGGACCTGCTTTGTTAATGACCTAAGTTTCCAGGGAACAGGCTTACCCCAGCTCTGGACTGGCCTGCAGAACCAGCTGGCTGAACTGGGGCAGATTCAGATGGCACAGTCTCCACAGCCCCCTGGAGCCATGCCACTGAGAATCTATCTGTTCTTGTAAACTGTGCATTTATCTGAGGTCTACAACACTGAGCCCAGGGCTCAGGAGAAGGAACTGTGTGCTCTTCATCGAGTTCTGGCGCTGAATAGCTGTATTATTTTCATTTACCTCAGTTACTCCACGCCCAAGAGGGGGAGAGCACTGCTTACTTACAGAAAGTACTTTAAGACTAGAACTGAAGCTGTACTGCACTTAACAGATCACTACTACAATGGAAAACAAGGAAAGGACTAGCAGCAGGAACTCTGCTGGTTATTTGTGCTTGAAAGGCCACATAATGCTGCCATTCTGGTCTGTAGCATTTGAGAGGCATCATCGAGGTGGGTCAAGGTCGCACAACCTACTGCCACTCAGCTCTGCTCAGCTCTGCTCATGCTTTCACTTAGACTTCTAAACTTGATGCAGTGACTTTTGTTTATTTATCAAGTGGTATTTAGACCTTGGTCTCCAAGAACAAAATTATATAACTTCCCTACTTCAATCTTCACTGTGAAAAAGGGATGAAAATGTCCTCTTGCATATAACAACTAACAGTGATGTTTCAGGATCAGGTGCTTAATCTTTGCAAAGCCCTCTCAAAATCAGAACAGCATCAGCTGTGCCTTTTCAGCACTGCTCTAGCATTGTGCAGATCTGCAATATAAATGTTCTTCTTTAGTTTTGCAACAAAAACCCCAAAGTTAGCAGAAACAAGGGATTTGCAAGTGGTTTACTTTATTTGTTTACATGCTCCAGAGACTAATTATCTTTGTTTGCTTTATTGTTTTACCTATCTCAGAGTGGAACTGGATGTACTTCATTAATTGGCCTGAAAGTAGTGATGGGCAAACTTCAAAGAGTTCACAGGCTTAGTTTTGAGAAAGCATCCCATAAATAGATTGCATGCAAATGGTACCCGAATTTATCTGAGCTATTCTCATGAAGTCTTTTTAGTTTCAACTCCCTCTAAATGCACTGACAGCAGCAAACCCATGGTTGCCTTCAAACCACAGTCAACTCCTAAGCTTTTCACACCCTTCCTTCTTTTTTTTAACCAGTTAACCTTGAGATGGAAATCTCTGTTAACCTGCCTTTAATAGCTTTAAAAAGTCAAGCTCTCTACTAGCCCTTCAAGATGCCCTATATGTTTAGATATTTCTCAATTTCCATAATATCTCTGCTTTGCTGGTAAATACTGTACCTACAACAGGACAGTCTGAGAAGATATGGGAAGAGATAAACAGCAGTACCATGAAGATAATATGGGCAAGGAAACTCTGTGTCACTGGAGGGATTCCTCTCAGAGTCAGTAATTTAGATCGTGGCTTCAACCCAGCCTTTGGAGCAATTGGGAACAAAGACAGTTGACAGTTTCTAAGGTTTTTACAAATTCTACTAGTACCTGGATGAAGTCTGTTTTAGGACAGAAGAGAGCCTATTACATCTATCTAGTATGAATAATCTTTGCCATGGTAGAAAGAGCAAGCCTGCTGTATGTGCAGTATTTTTGCATTTCTAAAACAAAGTAGCTCATTATTTATGTGACCACAAATAAATCTTTCTGGAGCAGCAATTAGATGATCAGTACCTTGAAAATCCCGAAAACATTTATTGCAATCATTTCATCTTTCACTCCTTCTTCATCATTCTTACATGTCCAGTTCTCCCCCTTGGATTATTAGCTGGATTGGTCCAGAGATCATTTAATATATTCCTCTTCTCTAAATATTTTTAAGGACTGATAACCAGTCATTTACTAACCAATCTGCTTAAATTATTTGTTGTAAATCCTAACGGAGGCTAAAAATTACTCTGCTGATCCCTTTTGCTTACAGCTTAATTTCTATATTAATTTCTGAAGAACTTCTGTGGTCATAAAAGGTAATGATCTGATAATGTTGCACATTTAAGTTTTCATAAGCCAAATATAGTTCAGATAGCTCTGGACCAGGCGTTACTGGACATCATCATCCACCTCCTCCCCAGTGAGTCATCTAAATTTCATACTATCAAAGTTCTCACTCACTCCTCAGCTGTTAACTACACCTGATGTTTATGTGGATTCATTTCCACTGAAGATAAAGGCCAGCAAATAAAGAGACATATCTCCATCTGCTATAAAATAACTCCATCATTTTCAGTGAGAACCTGCTGATTAACGCTCACTGAAGATCTGGCCCCAAACACTTCCAGAAGACTAGCACTAACGAAACTGGGTTCATCAGTAATACCAAAACAGTGGTATTGCTGTTTCTCTAGAGCAAGCTAAATTAGCCTAATTAGGAACTGTAGAGTCATTTATCATTAAGTACTACACATGATATTACAAACTTGTAAATGCCTAATCCATGGCTGAACAGGTTGGTAATCTAGAGGACAAACACACTTGGAACACATGTGCCTTCAAGTGTGCACCGTTTTACATGGGCAGTGTATGTATCTATTTGCTAGATGGGTGGATAGAGACACACAGACACTTTTATATTGTACATAACATGTAGCAGGACCAAACTTAAAAGGAACTATTAATTTCATTTTCTGTTGAAGAAACACAAATCCTCTTTGTGCATAGCAGCATTATGATTTTTTTCCTTTCCTTTGCACAAAAAAAACCAAACCCCACCAAAAAAACCCAAAACAACAACTGAAGAGAACCACAAAAAAATCTTAGTTTTTGAAAGAAAAAAAAATCTTCTCTTTGTGGGGCAAAAAACCCACAATTGAATCCTATCCTAGCCCTGGAAAATCTCCTCAAAGTAAACTGCACATCTTCTGGAAAGCTTACTTCAAATATTTTTTATATCATGAACTGAAAAAATAAGAATAATCCTATTGGCAAATTCAAAGAAAATCTGCTCAAACAATAAACAGTCTTTCCGAGAAGAGAAAAAAGTCCCAAACCTGCTATTCTCTGATGCTTTTTATTAGCACCAGTAAAATCATTTGTAACAGTTAAAAATACAAAGACAACAAAGTTAATTTGTTCTCCTTATGATAGTGGTTCTTCAAATGCTCGGCAGGATAAATCAAAACTTTCAAATTTTGCTTACAAATAAGCTTTGTTAATAGCAGTATTGTGTCTAATCTGCATATAATTTTTGAGGCAATTTAATTTTATATTAGCACAGCCCGTTGAGTAGGCAACATTGATATGCTTTTCACTATTTCTTATTTTCAAGGTTTTGTAAAAGTTCTTTGATGTTCTGAAATTATCTTTGATATTTATCAGTTCTCCCTCTTTAAAGCTGGTCAACTCAGCTGCAGTACCGAGGCAATATTTAAAAGCCTGATATAAATGATGAGGTTGCAGGAAAATCTCTAAAACTGCACTTTTAGTTTGGACCTGACATAAATCATGGCCTATTGGAAAATGGCTCTATGAACCAGACTCATGAGTTGTCCTCAAGAAGTTCCTGTACTGCTGGGTGGGCAGGAGTTAATTAACTTTGTCTCTCTGGGTGTATGTACCTTCAATAGCTGGTACACAGGGACTGAGCTGAGAGAGAGAAATCTCTCTTAGCCTTGCCTTTGCAGTGGTGATCTTCAGAGCAAGCAAGACATTGAATCCACATCTGCTGACCACACACACGTAGGCTGGGATGTCCAAGTGAGTGGTCCCAGCTGCTCGCCCTGCCAGCAGGTGCAGGGAGCAAGGGCTGCTGTCCTCTGTGCTCACCTGGTTGAGGGCAGGTGAAGTCTAGATGTGCTCACTGCCACCTCTCTTTAGATTGCTGCTTGTGTCTAGGTACCTATTTATGGCTCAATAGCAGAAAGATCAGGAGCAGGTAACTGCCAAAGCTGAGTGACTGGGGTGACTGCACTAATTAGTCAAAGCTGCTCCAGCGTCTAGACACCATTTGGCACACACAGCACAGTCACGTAAGGGAAGCGCCGCATCAATATTCAAACCAGCAAAGAAGTATAAATCTGACACTGAAAAAATTCAGACTAAGTCAATGAATATGTGTCATAGTGATAAATGACACCATTATAGGAAAAAAACAAGTCAAAATACTCGTTCTTGTGTTGCGGGGGCCAAACGCAGTACCCTCCTCTGTGCCTAGAAATAGCTCCTGTATAGCTTGGGTGCTGCTGTTTCTGCTGGGACACAGAAGTGGAAAGAGAGGTTGGTACATGGCCAGACTAATGGTGTCTATTGTTGCAGGAGCTTCTCTATTTCTGTTTCATAAAGACACAGTGAGTAGGCAGGAAAAAAATCAGGCAAAGGCTACATAAAAAACTCTATCAACCAGTGAGCCAAAAGCCTCAGACCAGCTCTATCATGAGGGGTGAACCTCCCAGCACCTAGTTATACATCTTTGAGCCTTTTTCTTTCAATTAGAAGACACTAGAGCTGTGTAAAACTAACACATCTCACCCCTCCTTAGTTACATACACACACTATTGAGCATCTGCG